GTTCTGCTGGCTACCAAGGTCTCCTTCCCCATCGAGGACAGCAGAGATGGGGGCCGCCCGATGGGATTTGGGACGGAGGAGGAGGGGGTTGATGTCGAAGATAGCGAGACGGCTGTCGCCGACGTGAAAGACCTCGCCGACAAGCTCATAGTGACCACGGCTCGGATCAAAGAGATGATCGAGCGAGCCCATGCCAACCTCGGCCACCCATGGAACGAAGTGTTCATCCAGGTTCTTCGGGCGGCCCAGGCGAGGCCAGAGGTTCTCCAGTGGGTCTGGGACCACTTCAAGTGCGACGCCTGTAACGCTTAGAAAAAGACTGCCGAACGCCGTCAGGTAGCTATCCCCGGGACGTTCCGGCTCAACAGAATAGTGGCGGTGGTATCATTCTTCGTTCCGCCTCTCTCTGAAGTCGTTTGCTATCTCAATATCATCTGCCACGGGACCAGTTTCCAGGTGGTTCCCAGGTATTCCGGAGGGGCGAAGGGCGCCTGGAGGGCCATGCTGGAAACGTGGATCCGCTATTTCGGTCCTCTTGATGTTCCCATCACCGACGGTGGGCCTGAATTTCAGGGAGAGTTTGAGAGGGGCCTCGAACAGCAGGGCCCCCTGCATCACGTCACCAATAGCGCGTCCCCGTGGGAAAATGGCAGATGCGAGAGACACGGCGGCTGGGTGAAGGATCTCATGTTGCGAGGTATCGAACAGAGCGCGGCTGCTACACGTGAGGATCCAGATATGCTGGCGCACAACATCGTGAGCTCAGAGAACAGGTATCTTCATCGTGGCGGATATACGCCGTACCAGTTGGTGCTGGGTCAGAATCCCAGGCTGCCGAACGACCTGTTGAGCGATGATGCGGCGTCGGGCATCGGGGTGGAAGATCTCACGCAGACCGCGCGGGACAGAGACACGGCAGCAGCAGACTTCGCGAAGGAGCAGTCCATTAGAGAGTACGCCAGGAGGTCCCTCTTCGAGACTACTAGCCAGCAGGGGGTCCGGGAGGCCAACCGTAGCAAGATGCACAGGGAACAACAGTTCGCCGCGGGTCAGTGGGTTTATGTGTGAGCTCCCACGGGAGGAAAGAAAACGTTTTCTTTGCAAAGAGACCGTTGGGTCGGTCCGGGGGTCGCGGTGGTTCAGCGGGGAAACGCGGCGCGGATTGCTATGCGATCCAGGCGCTGGAAATGCGGGATCGAACAGGTCCGACCTGCCACTGGCAGTGAGGCCAAGGGAGCCGAGCTCCTTTTCGAACCCGAGATCCGAGATTTCATTCGAGAAGCTCAAGTAGGTCACCAGAGGTCCGGTGTCGATGTTCTCCGGGAAGGAGCCCCCCCCCCCGAGGCTTGGGAGGCCCCTCTTCCTAGTCCCAGCGAGCGGGGCAACGAAGTCGTGATTCCCCCAGTACCGAGTTCTGCTGCCCAGAGGCCGGCCGATCTGGGCGTTCCCGCGGGCCCAGGAGACGACGGCTTCAAGCTCGAAGCCGACGAGCGCAGCAAGCGCGAGAGCAAGTGCGCCCCCGCGGGTCCCAGGATCGCCCCAGGGACATCGACTAGGATCCGAGGCCGCCAGTGCGGCTTCAGGCCCACCAGGGGCTCCCCCCGGGCTTCCGGAGCTTCGGGACTTTCTGGTTCGGGAACGGGTCTTCTGGAGTTTGAAACAGGTAATATGAGGAGTGGTGGAGGGGTTGCGGAAGAGCGCCCCGCCGAGGGTTCCACGCCAGGCCAACCAGAAGAGACCGGGAGAGGCTCCCGGTACCCAAGGAGGGAAGATGCGTTCCCTCGAGGACCGCTCAGCCCTCTGCTTCCCCTTCGGCATCCGCTTCCAGTCAGGCTGCTGAGGTTGCCAGGTGGAATCAGAGGCTGGATCTTGGCTCGGCGGCGAGACGTCTGCCCGCGCTTCGAGGGGATTTCCAGGGAGACCTCCCGGGGCGAGTCCGCAGGCAGGTGGAATAATTTCAAGGCGAGCCCAGCAGTGGCGACCCCCGGAGGTCCAGGAGTCTTTTTCGGAGGTCGGTCGAAGATCCAGGGGCGGAAGATCAGCAGAAGCCAGGTGCCGACAGTGATGACTTTCTTTTCTCTGCCGTCTTCGCGTCATTCAGTCAGTCTGAAGAGTTCATATCCATCCTGGGGAACGGGGGGGGCCCTGGAGGAGCGAGGGCGCATCTCGGATGTGTCAACCGCCAGTTGCGAGAGGGCGGTTGGAGCGGCGACTGGCGCACCTACGCGAACGGCAACGTTGGCACTCTTGCGAACCCCAGCGGCAGCTCTTTTTTTTCTTTATCTCTGCTGGTGGGCAAAGGTCAGGAAGTCCGGTGGGAAGACCTGGGTGCCCAGGGCAGAAGGGCTTTCGAGGCCTCGGATGCCGACGAGTGGAAATCCACGTTGGAAACCAAGGCTGTGCACGTTCACCCTCTGGAGATCGGTCGGCAGCTCAGGCGCCCGTTTCCAAATCGGGCCGTCAGTTCGAGGATGGCGCGCCGCTGGAAGCTTCAAGAAGGCGCCTTCGCCCCCCGGAAGGCTAAGTCGAGGCGGTGCGTCAGGGGGCGCGGGGGCGAGGACGCCGCCGAGCTGAAAGCGCACGCGCCAACTCCACAGATGGAGTCTCTCATGTTGTTTTTTATAATAAAAAATCGTGTCCCTCGTGTGTGGGCTCGATCTGTACGCGGGAGATCTGAAGTGCGCCTTCTGTCAGAGTGACAAGTTGCAGCGGCCCCGGGGTCGAGTGTTTGTTAGCCATGTGATGGCTCAAGGCTTCCCCCGGGCTCCTTGATAGAGCTCATTGCCCCCGTCTACAGATTTGACGACGCCCCCCTCGCTCTGCACAAAACTACGCATGATTTCATGTCCCAGCAGGGTTACCAGAAGGCTAGCATGGAGCCGCGTTGGTTCTATGAGCTGGAGGGAGACAAGGTTCGGTTCCCGGTCCTGGTCGAGGTGGGTGATTGGATCAATGCTCTGTCCCCTGATGTGGCCGAGGAGAGGCTGAAGGTTTTCGCGAGCCGGTTTAAGTTTGGTAAACATTCGGAAGGTTGACCAGCAGGGGACTGACTTCGTCGGCCGTAGGATCCGCAGGATGCCAGGCCGGGTGTTGGTTGATCAGGAGAAGTACATTCTCGAGAACCCCCACAAGGTCGAGCTTCCCCGGGGCCGGCGTTCTAATCACTCAAAGACCCTGCTTCCCCACGAGTTCGGACAGTTCAAGTCGTTAATATACAAGCTGAACTGGGTCGGGCGGGAGTCGCGCGCCGAGGCAGCGGGCGCTGCCTCGATGTTGGCTCCCCGTCTGATTCAGGCGTGTATTGGGGGTGTCCTGGAGGCCGACCGCATGGTCGACCACGCGGGGAATACTGCCCAGGTCCAGGCGATTGCGCGGCCCTTTCGTCCAGGGAGAATTGTTGTCGCCACCGCGAGCAACTGCGGAGGGGTCGGGGGCCTCGATGGCAGTGAGGTTCAGCAGGCGTGGCAGGTCTTTGCCGCTTCCATTCAGGATGGAAAACTTTCTGGGGCCTCTCCCATCGCGTGGCGGTCCAGCAGGGTCCGGAGGCAGGTCCCATCGACCCTTGGGGGAAGTCTTGGCGTTGTCGGGGGCGGCGGCAGAGGCTGATTGGTTGCAAATGTTGTTCCTAGATGTGACCTGGGGCGGGCTCTTGACCGAGCACTGGAGGGGGGAGGTGGGCCCGTTCACCGCAGTTCTCAGACGCGACTGCAAGCTAAACGTTGCCCCCTGGACACGGTTAATATAGTCGACGCAAAGGGGATATTCGACACTCTTGATAAAGAAACGAGCGGCTCGAAGGCAGACCGACGTACAGCTATCGACCTGGCAGTCATCAGGTCGGCGATGACGAGGGTGGGTAACCAGATAAGATGGGGCCCTCATCCAGCCATGCCCGTGGACTCTCTCACAAAGTCGGATATCCAGAAGGGCAACATAGCCCAGTTCAAGATGCTTTCCTCGGGCATGCTGCGTCTCGCGAGCGAGGAGGAGAGCATGGAGGATAGAAGAGATCGGGCGGCCAAAATGGGCAGATCTCGGGCATGCTCCGAGCGACACCTACGACGCCTTAATGGAGATGCCACAGAGAAGACAGGCCCGGAGGCCTAGCGAGATCGACCACGATCCCCCGGTTCCTTCCCGGGTGGTTGGAGGGTGGTGGTCTCTCTGTCTCTCTTTCTTTATCTCTCTCTCTCTCTCTTTTTCTCTCTCTCTCTCTCTCTCGTCAGCATGCTCAGTGCTCTTTAAGGAATCTTCCAGACTGTGGAAGGCCAGGCGTGTCTGTGCTAGTGCTTCCCTCGGCGTGGGCCGAGAGTGTGTTTCAGTGGACAGATTTCAGTTCCCTGTGCACAACCACCTTAAAGCTCAAGGAAATTGGGCTGACTGACGATGTTCAGTCTGGAATGTTAACCCATGTGAACTTTACGTATGTGCGTTTGTTTGTATGAGTTCCAGGGAGTTTGTATAGTTGAGCTTCTGTCCATGGCCATTTGGGCACTAGGCACCTCTGTGTGTTAGTTTTTCAGATCAACCTCCGAGTATCGCATCCATCCGTCCACATCGGCCTGGGTTCTGAGAGCAGTTGGATTCATGCGTGCACGTCAGAGGTGCATGGGCAGGAAAGGTAGTGTTGGCGCGAACTCCCCCGAGCGCAGCGAATCAGTGTGCATTTCTTGGGATCGCCGTCTCCATGTGTAGGGTACAACATCACACTCAAACATGTTTTCATGTTGCGCCAAACAGAAACCGTTTGGCGGCGGCTTGCCACTTGCCCGCAGGGCCCTGCCACTTCTCGCGCAAGGCGCCCGAGCCTTTGGCAACTCTGAGGGCCTGTTCTTGCACCGCCTTTGGCTGGAAGGGCACAGCTCTCGGCTGAATGGCCCCCCGCTCGGGCCCAATATCTCTAAATCGACCTTACGAAGACCTCCCAGACGTTGCTTCCTGACCTCCTGCGCGCCGCCACGAAGGGCGACGTGGAGGACGTGGAGGCCGCGGTGGACCTGATGGGGCGCGATCCGCCCCAGTTGGACTTCGGCGTGGACAGCCAGAGCGCGGGCGGCGTGACCGCGCTCCTGATGGCGAGCTCGAACGGGCACGCCGAGGCTGCCCTCTTAGCGAGCGGGCTGGCTTCCGCTCTCTCGTTTTCCCACATGCCTCGGCTTCGGCAGATGGAAAGGGATGAGGGGAGAGGGGCAGAGGAGGGGGAGGATGAGCCTCAGGGAGGGAGGGGAGGGAGGGAGAGGGCGAAGGCGAGGGGAAGAGGCGGAGGAGGAGGAGGAGGGGGAGGGGGAGGGCACGGAAAGCGGTTTCCCTCCCTCCCCCCCCCCCCCCCCCCCCGGCACACCCGCACACACATACACACATACACACATACACACACACACACACACGCACAAACACACGCACACGCACACGCACACACACACACACACGCACACACACACGCACACGCACACCACACGCACACGCACACGCACACACACACACACACACACACACACACGCACTCGCACTCGCACTCGCACTCGCACTCGCACTCGCACTCGCACTCGCACTCGCACTCGCACTCGCACACGCACACGCACACGCACACGCACACGCACACGCACACGCACACGCACACGCACACGTACACGCACACGCACACGCACACGCACAGACGCAGACGCAGACGCAGACACAGACACAGACACAGACACACACACAGAGAGATACCTTGCTTGAGGTGCGGCACGCACGCCGCAACACCCGCACCCCTTCCCTCCTGTCGTCCTTTTGTCCTCCTTCCGTTGTTCGGCCGTTCCCTACTTCTGTCAATGACCCAGTTGGGTTTGTGTAATCCCTCGCCCATGGCGGGCGCTGGGGGTGAGGCCTACCGATGGCGCCAGTCATCGGATAGAGTCGAGGGACGATCAGAAGAGAGGCAGGGCAAGGAGGTGAGGGGGACAAATGCTGTGGTGGCCCAGGAGATCAGGGAAGGGATGAAGGTGAGGGATGGGGAAAGGGGGGAGCGCTAGCTGCATCACCGTATGATTCGCCTGCGCCGAAACGAGCACGGCTCGTCATTGGTCCGAGACTGGAGTGCAGATCCCCTTCGCTTCGTGATCACCACTCATCCCAGGGATGGGTTGACTTGGCAACGCAGGGGGGAGCAGGGTAAGCATTGCTGGGGCCATGCCTCACTGTCGTGCAGTTTGTAAAGCCCTGCAGCCGCATTATCACATTACATCGAGCTGAGTGCCGCGTGTGGATCCAGCCACTTGTGTAAAGTTTGGCCGCTTCCACATGCACGATTTCATGGCTTCGCGTGTTCCAGAAAGCCTGCCAGGCTGAATCAGTATTTGGCCCTTCCCCATGTTGTTCTCCCGAGGTTGTCCAGACACTGCTGAGAGCCAGGGCGAAGGTAGACCTCGCCGACCAGAATGGGAGGACCCCGCTGCACGGTGCCTCCTTCTGCGGGCACGTGCCCATCTGCAAGACTTTGCTGGAGGCCGGGGCGAGCCCGAACGCCAGGAATTGCAAGGGCTATTTCCGAGTCCAGAATTTACACATATCCACCGCCAGAGGAACCGACGTCCCAAGACCTCTCCAGAAGAGGTGGATGTGGATGCATCTGGGGCCCCCAGCCAGGGCCCGAGTGATTCCAAATCCTCTGCGCCCTGGGGTGCTGGGACACCGATGCCTCGGGCGGCCGATATGCTTATACATTCTGGCCTCGAGCCGTTACCCGTTCGACGAGGCGAAGATGCGGGGCCATGAACAGATCCAGGAGATGCTGCAGGCCGCTCGGGCGACCGAGGAGCCCTTCCCCGCAGGCGCGCGCGTGGAGGTGCACGGACTGACCAGCGAAGCCGGCAGAGAGATGAACGGGAAGTTCGGGCGGGTCGTGTCGCGGGACTTGGAGTCTGGACGGGTCGGGGTCAGCGTCGAGGGTGTCGGCGACAGGGCGTTGAAGCCGGGCAACCTCCGGGTGGTGGACGCGGGCTGACCGCTGAGGAGCCTTGGCGCGCACCCGCATGGGCACCTTGGGGGTTGTCGCCGTCGCTGGCTCTCGAGAAAAGGCAGGTATACCGACACTGGTAAGGTTACCCCTGGACCATCTCTCGCCTCTCCTAGGGCTCACTCCCGTTGCCACTGCCAGATCCGCCGTGGGACCCTGGCTGGAACACACCGTGGGAATGGTCCGGGGAGTTGCGGCATCGGACTGGTACGCCCGAAGCGGGGACGGCAAGAACGGGGGCGATGCCTGACAGCATATATTGGGCAACGTTGACGGCGACCGCTGTTGGGCAGGCGGCGTTCGCCCCAGATGGACAACGCCCGCTGAGACCCCAGCAGCGAATTCTGTGGCCAAGATTTGCTGTCGGTCGTCCTCCTGGGTCCTCGGTCCACATTTCGATCCTCCCGATCGGCATGTGTTGGTCCCCTAGACCTCGTCGTCGGCTCCCGCCCTCCCCCCCGCCACCATGACGCAAGCGGCTCCTGGGGGGAAGGGGAAAGGGGCTCAATATCCCGGCACGTAGAATCTATCGTTGGCCGGGGCTTCCCCTGGGACAGGCTCTGCATCCCGAGCCGTTTCCGTGCTCGTCCCGAGGGCCGTCAAGGGCCCGGCGGGCACGAGTGTGTCGACAGGGTTCGGGACCCCAGGGGCCCAGAAACGGGGAGAGTTTTCGGGAGGAGCGAAAGAAGGATTTACACTTACATGAATACACTTTGGTTTCGAGAGTGCGCATTGCGCGTACCTTTGTATCACGCCGGCGGTCTCGCGGATTGGGGGGCCGTGTCCATGTTCGTAGGTGGGTGCGCATGTCGTTTGGAGGTTCCCCGGTTTCCTCCAGGGACAGAGTCCATCTGTTTCGTGCTGACCGCGGGTTTTCGCCCCCGTGTTTGTCCTTTTGGCAGCGGGGCTGCACGCGGGGCTCCCCGGCATGGGCGGGCGGCCGCGCGGCGTGTGCGAGGCGGGTGCGCGGCGGGTGCGCAGGCCGATGGCGGCCGCTTCGAGGGGAGGGGGCAGGGGCAGGGGCAACGACAGGCAGGGGGGTGACGGGCTCGGGGGCGGGACAGGGGAGGGACGGGCCGGGCATCGACCCCCAGAGGCCCATTCATCGCCGACACGGACCCGATCGCTATTGATAGCGATCGGGTCCGTCGATCTACTGGCGATGCATCTCGCCGGTGCGAGGCTGATGTTTCCCTCCCCCCGTGTTCCCCCCCCCCGCAGCCTGTCCCCTCCCAACGTTGACCCTTAGAAGGGGGAACGGTCGGAGGTTCGAGGTTTGGGAGACCGGAGATAGCTCGGGCGGGACGCCCCAGACCATCAAGCAGTGGCGGAGCGTCCTGACCTGACTTGAGGACCCCCAAGTCATGTTCGAATGACGTGCCCTTGCGTGGTGTGCGCGACGTGTTTTGTTGAACATTTCTGGCTGAGAACGTCTCGGTTCAATCCATCGGTCTGATGTTCTAAGAGCGTTGTGTTCCGTTTATTCGAGCACTGTTTGGTTCCAGGGCAATTTCGTGGTAGGCCTAGAGGATTGCCAGGACGGTCGGTCCCTACTCAAGACCAGGAGCGGATCGAACACGTAAAAACGTATCTTCGAATGCATTTCTCGGGATAGCGCCTTACGCGAGCGTCCGTGACATGAGGGCAGCCTCGTGAATTGGCCAGCATATGGTTAGGAGCGTGCGTACGTCCCCGAGGAGCCCCCAGGCAGAACAGGGAGACCACCAAGCACCAGGAAAACCCTGCCTGGCGCTTACCCCGGATGGTGGTGTCAAGCATCTCAGCTAGACTGGCGGCTATGAGTCGGCTTGGGCCCTTGCCCTGCCGGCATACATCTCGCTGCTGGTGACCTAGGACAGTGAATTGTTAGTTAAGCATTCCAAGACGCGGTGGCAGTTGTTCTCGATGTTACCATCGTCGCAGCGGTCGCAAGCACACGATAATTCAAGGGCCTTGATCATCTTCTGCACGCGTTGCTTAGTCCACTGACCCCCACATCAACCATTCATCATAACTCCTGCCAATCGGTCTTGCTCTTGACCTCGAGCTCGTTTAAGTTGTTGTCGAGTGCCAGGTAGATCAACTCCTGCTGCTTCATCTTCGCTTTCATAATATTTAGCTGCTCTGTTCCGTAGCGTATCACGAATGGTTCCCGAATGTCGCCCAGATCGAGGGCCCCAGCTTCAAGGATCTGGGGAGTAGCTTGGTTGACGTTCCCAGAATCCGAAGCCCAATGCCAGGGCCCCCCCGGGATCCCAACCTGTATATACATATATATATATATATATATGTACATCTATATATATATATATATATACACATACATACATATCCAAGAGCGTATGGACATTAACCCAGGGGCATGTGACATTCCTCCATCGATGTGGAGGGTTGGCGCGCGCATGTGCAACATTGACTGCCCAATCACGGGTAGCAAACTTGCGAGATCAGGATATCCATCTGTCGGACATGTTCAGTTCTTTGGCGATTGCTGGATCCGGAGGTTGGGCAAAGGCGAGAGGTAGCGAGCGTTGGTCCCGCGGCCGTTTGTGTTCAAGCGGCCAGCCGCCAAGATATGAGTGCGCCTCATCGCGGGGCACACGATTTGCCATTGAGACCGAAAACGCATTCGTTTGACATGGCTCGTCGCTCCCGCGACTCTTCTCTTGCTCTTGGGACTATCGCTACTACAGTATATCAGAGTTGGAACGAAGCATCTGGTTGGGCCTCCCGGCCTGCTTTAAACTTGGTAGCGAAGCTGTCCTGTGGAGGACAGTTGTCGCTCTATTCTTCACCATCCACGGCACTATCTGGTGGATTGGTGACATGGTTAGACGTCAGGGTGCAGTGGCTCTGCGCGTTCGAGTGTACATTCATACGCACCATGGCAAAGACACTTGCAGTGATGCCTCTGCCCACGCAGAAGTATCCTACTTGAGTCCTTCTCTTCACTCCTGAAGTCCGCCCACCTACTCCAATAGGTAATTTCATCGAACATACGATGCGTGGCAACATGCGATACGACATTGTGCCGTTTTCATCCCCGCGCAAATTGACAGCAACGTCACCTCACAAACAACAACCACAAACAACCGACTACGACCTACGAGGCCACTGGATTGGTATTGCTACAATTGGCTCTCCATGGGTCGCTATCGGATGCGCTGTTGGGCACATGCAGCGTAGCGGAGACGGCACACGTACTACTGGCCCCCAGTGGGGCCCTCCCGGTAACGTACCTTTTTTTTCCGCGAGTCCGATCGCGAGGTACATGCCTGGATCAACGTGACCACAGAGAGTATGACCTTTTTTCCAATAGGCTGCCGCTCTACAGCGTGGCCTGGGAGGGCTCGCAAGGACCATCGCCATGAGAGCCCCCCCGACAGTAATTAACTATGGTGTTTATATCGGTGGTCGCCAGACCGATGGCGTCACCTACATTTTGTTCCTCCTCAGCACTACGTTCGAAAACTTAGAAAAAGGAGCGCCAAATCAATTCGGGAACGGCTCTCATTGACTTTCGCGCTCATGCGGGAGAGCGTCTCGACCAGGCGCTGGCCCGCTTCGAGGTAGCGCGCTTCGAAACCGACGCGGCTGGTTTTCAACGTCCCAAACTTCTAAATCCTAACAGTTCTACTGTTCAGAGCTCCTAGGTGTTGGTACATCGCGCGCACAGCAACTACGATAACCATTGAACCACCAAATGCCAGTGACCCAGCAGCAGTGTGACGCCGCACTAGAGCGCATGAGGGCTCACGCCCATATTGCTGAGCGAACCTCTGGCAACCTTGGTGGTGCATTCAGCCATGGCCACCGCGCTGATGTCTTTCTTGGCGACAGTCATGCAGGGCAACCTGCCTACAGCGTCTGGAATGGCGATCCACAACCAAACGAGGCCAACACTCTATGAAGCCAACAGAGTGGCCAGCCCACGGGGTCGCAGGACTCCTGGGCTCGATGCCAGGGGCCGTCGGCAACGGCGGCCCCGACCCAATCCACTACTCTCGTAGGCTCGGCGGGGCAACCCGCCGAGTCCGAATTTGATTATGGCGCAGACGCTGACGCCTCGCCAGATGTGGGAATTGGCAACCTGGCTTACTCCGACATGCCTGTGCATCTCACTACTGAGTAGCAGCAGGCGCAGTGGGCATTCCCAAGACGCCCGGCGCACGAGCGCCGACTGATATTTTTTATGAAGAAACCAGTTCGAAAGGTGCGACGCGCAGTCCGATGGGTGTCCAGGCCGGAGGGCAAGGGTGCAGGCAAGGGTGAACGATGGAGACTCCATGGCAGAGACATGCTAACATTATTGGCATCCCTTACGGGGCCACAGTACGAAGAGACCTTCCCGGGGAAAGGTAAAGGCCGCAAACGCGCATCAGGGAAAGGCAAGGGGCGTCAGGGCAAGCCGAAAGATATGCCGACGGCCAAGCCATGGAACGAGATATCTGCCACAGCCCCCAGCATATTCGTCGCGAGTGCCCCCAGTGATGGGGGAGGCAGGGGTTTGTCGGCGCATTAGGCCCAAGCCGATTTCGACATTCAGTACGTCGGTTGGGAGGCCCTTCTCGCCGAATCGGAAGGCAAACGCACGGCCGCTGTCCACTTCGCGTCCGCGAGGTATCTGGGCGCCCGCTGATCCCTCGAGCGGTGCGCCGACGGGCTCTTTGAGGAGATCTTCGTTGGCCGCGATGAGATCGACCTGGCAGACTGGCTGGGCGATTCCATCGCGCGACAACCTGCGCGCGTAGAGTTCAGCGAGGATCATCGCATCCGCGCTGACTCGGATCGCGAGATGGCGGGGTCACTTGCGCACTCCGATGATACGACCCCAGCTGCGGAAGAGGAGGAGCTCCCACTGGCGCCCCGACCGCAGGTGATTGGGAGCCCCACGCGCAGGGGAACCTGCCACGACGATCCTCTGCGGGGCAACCCGCGTGACGCAGGCGGCCTTCCTGCGCACATTCAATATGAACTCGGACACAACGAAGGCTCTCACCTCACTGTTGTACTTCACGACCGGTCTTCGAGCCTCCCGGTTTGGAGACGAGTGCGTCGCGCGGACGATGATGAAGAAAGGGAAGTCGAGAGCCGTCCGCAATGCCGCCGTCGGCGGCGCCATTCGCGCCGGCATTCGCGCGCCCGTTCACGCGGCGCGCAGCGCCCTCGCCCGCGCGATCCGAGAGACTTGCCTAGAAAGGAACGTTCGCGGGGGAATCCGCATCAGGGCGACGAAGGCCCACGCGGGCCCGAAGGTCCGCGTCATTTCAGACATGTCGGCGAATATAACGCTGGGCTTGCCCGCCAATCTGCGCCAGGCGAAGACGTGGATGAATGGCCGGGCAAGGGTTGCACCGAGCACCGTATCCGCCATTGGTGATCGGAGGATGACCTAGGTAACGTCGTCCGCGCCGACGGAAGAGGCGGCGTCGAGACAGCGGCTGCGTTGGAAAAAAGGACGCAACAAGAGCCATCAGTGCGGCTCTGATGGGATATCGAGGAAAGGTCCGTGGATGCGAACATCGTGCACGCCGCAAACCGAAGTGCCCGACAGGGCGCCCTTAAGGGGCCCCGACTTCGAGCGGGGCTGGCCCCGCGGGGGTGGCCTCGGACGCGGGCCCGACCTGCAGTCTTAGAGCAGCACTTCTGACCTTGGATGACTACCAGCCGTCAGATGATTATCAGGCACAAGTCGCTGAGCAATACTGGAACCAACTCGATAAGAATTACCGGCTTAAGCGGTGCAGTCGAGGATGCCACGAGGCCATGCGCGAAGCACGAGCGGCCTCTTCTGCGGGACAACCCGCTTTTTCCTCTCGCGAAGGTGCCAGCGAGCCTGCGGCTGACAAGATAGGCGAGGCTTTTGGCCCCGCGCCAGCTTTTGATCCCACTGCACATGCGTCTGGGTTGAAAAATTCACATGAATCCTCCAGTGGCGATGCCGCTGATCCAGACTTGGACATCGCTGTGCCGATAATGGAGGG